CATTGTCGATCTAATATCTGAGGCTGTGCAAAAAGCTTTACCATCAAGCGCTGCAAGGTATAAAAACTTGAGAGTGTTGCCAGGTTGGTTTGACCTGGATTATGACATCTTTGCCAACATCCCCAGTACACCTGACATTGTTTTTGTTGATAGCTGCCACATGGAGGTCCTGATTTTGGAAGTAGGCTTTGTGTTTGACCTGTACATGGACTAGGCTTTCCATGACAAATATTCAAAATATCAACCATTACTCCAAATCATAACAAGTCTTGGTTACAAATGCAGATTCTCTGTACTCATATTTGGAAGCCTGGGCCATGTGTATAAATATACCACTAGTGGCCTGAACATTGCTGGCATATCTAAGTGCAGAGTAAAAAAGTTTGCTAAATTTTGCTCTGTTTCTGCTGTTATAGGCAGCTTGGCTGTATGGAGGAGAAGATGCTATGTATTTCCATGAGTGACCATTATTGTCTTCTTGTCCCCTTTTGTATTTGATTCTTTGCCATATTTAATGTAATTGGTGGAATCAAATAAAGAATTCAAATGTGTGTGTGTGCGTCTGTGTGTGTGTGTAGGTGTGCACACATTCTCAGGTCTTCCTCCTACATCCACCTCACTGTCCCTCCATCCCACCTGACCACCATGATGTCTACAGCCTTCAGCCTCCCACATCCTGTATGCAGAGTGTGATCTGCTCCCGCCAGCGACCCGTTACAGGGTCCCCATGAAAAACAAAAACAGGTAACTCAATCGATATAAGACCTCATTTATCAGAGTCAGATGTAGGGTCGGGGTATGAACTGCTCACACACACACACACACACACACACACACACATTACATGTTTGCACTGTTTTTTGCTGTGTTGTATTGTTGGTGTATTATGATGTGTCTAATGCAGTGACCTCTTGTCCAAGACACATTTCCTTCAGGACCAATAAAGTAATCAGTCAATCAGTCAATCAAAGCATCCATCCATCCATCCATCCATCCATCCATCCATCCATCCATCCATCCGTCCATCCATCCGTCCATCTGTCCGTCCACACATCCACCACTAACAATGAATTTTATTGATGTAAACTTGTTTTGCTGAATATTTATTTGTTGTTTTGTTATTCAACTTTATCATTTATTTGTTTATTTTATGTTAATTTATTTCTTATGTCGCTGACTCTTTTATCTGCTGATATTTTCTCTGTCTTTCCCTGTAAGGTGATCCTAAGTGACAAATAAAATGTCTTGTCAATAATAAACTGAGAGGAGCTCAGTGTTTGCAACCAGACTTTAAGACAAAATTAATCTGGAGATCAGAAAAACTCTCAGATCTTAACCTAAGAGTCTTTGGAGCAAAAACAAAAGTATTGCAGTTCAATTTGTGTTCAGTGTATAAAATAAGACTAGTGTTGATTCTGAGACTCACCCCGTCCACCGGCATCTTCCCAGGAGAGAAGACCACCTTGACGTAGCGCTTGTTGACCACCTCTAACCGGTCCACCTGATGGACACAAAGACAGGTTTTAACTCTGATTAACGTGCTGATTAACCCAGATTATCTTTTTTAATGTGATTCCGACTTTAACAGTTGGATAAACAAAATTTAAAAAAGGTGTGGATTAATGTGGCAGATTAGCCAATGTTACACAGAATCAGATTAAGATGTCAAATAAACTCAATTTAAAAAGAAATCTGATTATAACAGTCAGATTACAAAAAAAATAACTCAAATTAATGTAATCAGATTTATGGATTGGGGATATAGTCAGATTAATGTAATCAGATTAACACATTGAGGATATAGTCAGATTAATATAATCAGATTAACACATTGAGGATATAGTCAGATTAATGTAATCAGATTAACACATTGAGGATATAGTCAGATTAAT